AGCAAAGGTTGTGCCGGTCAAAGCTGGACAACTTTTCCTTCTTCGTTCTTCTGACAGTGCTAGCTAGCTGGCTGAAGAAAAAATGGGAGCCGATTGCCTGGTCTCACCGTAATTTATACGGTCAGGGGGTGAGGCCCACACAGCAGGTGGGCGTGGACTAAAGTTTTTCAGTGCAGCGTTGAGCGCCTAGGGATAAGCCCACCAGCGACAGCCTTAAAGGGCGAAGCCTATACGAAATAGAACTAGAATATATTCAAACGTCTGAACTGTATTGCTTTTAACGCAGTCTGGAACTGTTCGTGTCGAGTTTCTCTGAGTTGTCTCACGACGTGATGCAGTATAAGAGAAATTCGACACCACGGTTATATATTTATGGAGCTCAGACAGAAGGAAGTCTGCAGGTTTTATAAAACCACCGAATGCCAACAGCTGTTTGCTGCACGGCTTCACATCAGCTCGTCCTGTCATTGACGCAGCTCATCACGTCTCTTTTCTCCTGGCCCTTCAGCCTCAGCTCTTGGGTTTTAGTGCCGGGTGTGATCAGGGTTTTGGGGAAGAAAGAAGATCCTTTCCAAACCGTTTCCATCCATCATGCCACAAATGAATTCACAAGTGGGGAAAAGGTTTGACTGCCAGTCTTCATGGTCAGTCTGTGATGCTGGAGAGACGGTAAAATCCAAGAGCTCCGTCTCTGACGCTCCAAGCCTCCGGTGGAAAACTGAAAGTTAAAGTTCATGACAGGAGAATTATGAAACATCTGAGCAAGCGATTGGAAAGAGTCGAGAGGAAACAACATCTCAACATGGCAGCACAAGTTAGTTTGAAAAGTTGCATCTAAATTAACGAAGCCTCTGGACAGATTATAACGGTGTTTACCCACAATGCACAGCACCACCTTGTGTAAAACCTAAACAACTCATTCCAGTTGTTGAGCACGGTGGTGGAAGGGCGATGATTTAGTCATGATTGAGTCAATCATGATCTCCTCTATTATTGTTTTTGTTTTGATCCATAAAACTTTGTTTATTTATAAACAACAGGAAGTCCACGTCTTGTGACATAAAGGACGGTAAAGTCGGCTTCAGAT